GCCCTCAGTTACCCTCAGCCCACCCTCCCCTGAGGAGCTCAGCAATAACAAGGCCACCCTGGTGTGCCTCATCAGTGACTTCTACCCCAGCTGCTTGACGGTGGCCTGGAAGGCAGACGGCACCCCCGTCACACGGGGCGTGGAGACCACCAACCCCTCCAAACAGAACAACAAGTATGCAGCCAGCAGCTACCTGAGGTTGTTGCCTGACAAGTAAAAATCTCACAGCAGATTCACCTGCCAGTTCATGCACGAGGGGAGCACCATGGAGAAGAATGTGGTCCCTGAGGAGTGCTCTTAGGTCAAGACATCCCCTACCCACTCAAAGGGCTGAGAGCCACAGGACCTCCAGGAAGGATTCCCCTTGCACCAGGATCATCCCAGCCCTCCTCCCAGCACTCAGTCATGCTCAATAAAATGTTCTTTATTCAATCAGAATTCAGGCTGTCTGGTAATTTGGGCTTAACATTTCAGTCCAGAACTCAACCATCTTTGGGGGAAAACAGGATTCTTTTGGCCTTGGGAAAAGAGCCCAGTGAAGGCGTCCTCATGTTTCATGAGGGGTTATTTTGCTCTCAGCCAGAATTGTCACACAATACTCCTGAACAGGAGATCAAAACAACAGAAATTAAAGAGACCATCCTCCACAATGTCTCTAGCTTTCCTTCTTGTGTTAACCATGCCCACTGCCAGTCATAGCTTCCCTCACTGATACCAGATCCCCTGGATTTCTTGGATAATTCCTCAGTTTCTCCCTGGACCTGGCACCTCACCATCTACAAGAAGCCCTCCTCTGAATATTCCCACTCTCCTCTTCCTATAGACCCCCACTCAGTGCCAGCTTTTCCCTGGTTTCCTACCCCATGTGGACATTCCCAATTGTCACAACCTAGAGCCTCCTCCCTCTCTCATGAGAACACCTGCTCCTACCTCCCCAGGAACACTGACTGTCCTCCGCCCACAGACTCCCTGTCACACTCACTATAGGAGCCCCTGCCTGGGCACTGGTCACTCACACCCACACTCCCACTGCTGGCATCTCACCCCACCAGTGTCTCTTGGTTCACACTACATCCAAGTTCTCTGGGAAACAGACTCCAGCTTTGCTTTCTGGGACCCCTCCGAGGCCAGGCCAACCCATGAGCCCATCATTCGTCTTTCGTTAACCTGCCTAGGGTGTCTGTTATAAATCAAGACTCAGATTCTGGAAATGCGCTGTTGACAGGTTTCTCAACTGACTCATCTACTTAGGAGTTCAGTGTAGTATCTGATCATAACACACACACAAGCACACACACAGGTCCCAACAAACAGAAACATACATGCACACTCATGATGATCACAAAGACACTGGTCCATTTACAAAACTGCCATGGTGGGCATCTCTATGGAAAGATCAGGAGGAGCTGGGGTAGAAGGTGCTGCACAGGGAGCCAGGATATGACATGAACAGAGACAATTCCATCTCTGTCATCCCTACCAGAGCCAGCCACTAGCAATAGAAGGCTCCAGGGATTCTATTTGTGCTGGAGTGAGACAAGAAACCTCATGAGAAGCTGGAAGGTGTTTATGCACTCATCGAGAGCAGATCGAGGAAGCCAGTCAGAGTTCTAGCTCAGTGCACCAATGTGACAAAGAAAGAAGGATGCCAGACCTGTGTGTCCCCTATTGTGAGCTCTGCAGGTGACATCCCAAGGCAAGGATGCAGGAGAAGGCCATAGGTGTCAGAGAGCCTCCTCACAATGTGAAGGTCCAGTGCAGAGGTACAGTATGTTTTCCAGCTTGGTGGGGGAACCCTGTGCTAGTGATGCTCCTGTATGTGGGCCATGTGTGATTCTCAGTCAGTTCAAGGCTAGGCACAGACTCCGACATTTCCACTCAGGGCAAAACTGTAGGATGTAGTGACTGCATCCACACACACCAGGGGCCCAACACGTCTATCCAGCTTATATTCAGCCCACATCTCCCTATACCATGACAGTTGCCCTCACAGCTCAGGATAGGGACTAAACAGTGACCATGCTACCTTCCTAAAGAACCAGCCAAAGGCAGCGATTCAGGACATCGGGGCTAAGAGAGAGATCTAAGTGCTGGGGGAAACGTGATTCTCCTCCCAATACTTTCCATTCCTGACCCCAAACCTCCACTGCTTCCCCTGCAGATGATGTAGTGGCATATCCAGGAGCCTCCCCATCAGTCCCAACTCTGCAAAGGGCTCCCAGCTCCATCACCTCTGTGCTGAAACACCCCTGCTCACCCCTTCTACAATGACATCCTGACACAGACTGAGGAGAGCACAGAGCACCTTCCTAAGCATGGTGTTAGCTGAATTCTGATGCCATACCTAAAGAGCATCTCTCCATCCCCTCCCCATGACTGAGGATAGATGGATTCTGAACCCTCCATGGAACTGATTCCAGATCCCCAGGGGTCAACCCCATCACCCACCCATCTGCCTGACCAGCACCCGTGACAAGAAGGCTGGGCTTTGGGCCTCCCGTGCAGCTGCAGGTGGGCCTGGGTCAGGGGTGGAGGGACTGACAGAGGGTTTGTGTTCCAGGCTGTGTCACAGTGTGCTTTGTTCGGCGGAGGGACCCATCTGACCGTCCTCGGTGAGTCTCCCCTTTCCTCCTCTTTTGGCTCCAGTATACAATTTCAAGTGATTTTCTTCTGCTTTCTATTGTGACCTGGGCTCGGGCTGAAGGTCTGTGGGGTCTGTAAGTTTTACCTCTTTTATCTGCCCCTTACCTCCTCCACTGGCCCCATATTGTCAGAAGTGCTCAGGGCTACAGGGGACGTCCCCGTGAGCCCTTCCTAATCTAGACCTGAACTCAGGCCTCACTGTGACTCCAGCTCTCTCCCCAAGGAAATCTTCTCCTCTGGACTCAGGGATGGTCAGCTCACCACTCAATGTCTCTGGGCTCCAAGAGTCCGAGGAGAATTGAGGGTGAAGGGCAAATGAGTAGGGGTTCCTGCTGCCAGAGGGACCGTGAGGTGTGGGAAGGATTCTGGGGATGGCTCGGGCACCGGTTCCCATCCTTGGGGGATCCAAGGCAGAGAACTGCCTGATGAACAGTGAGGACAGCCTTGGTCTCGGTACTTGGAGACATGGAGAAGGAAGTGGGACAAGGGGGTCAGGAAGAAAGGAAGGACATCACAGGAGAAGGGGGCCGTGGGTTCTGGGCCTTCCACCTCCATAGGGACACTCAGGAAGCCAGCAACAGGACAGTCTCAGGACACTCAGGCAGCAAAGTAAATGCCTTCACCACCGCAGGAAAGCCTCCTGAGCAGATAGATACGTTGGGCCTGGGTCTCCAGGTAGGAAAAGGTGACAGGTCTTGCCAAGACCTCAGAAATCTAACGATGGACAGACCCCCAGTAAACTTCACAGAACAGGGAGACCCTTCAGAACAGACATAGCCCATCCTTAAAACTGGGTTCTGCGAGTCCAAGGAGAATTGAGGGGTGAAGGCAAAGAAGTGGGGAGCTTGGGCTGCTAGCAGGGCCATGGGGTGTGAGGTGGATACTGGGGACATTCAGGCATAGTATTCTGTCTTTGGCTCGTCCCAGCTGGAGGGCTGCCTGGAGCACAGAGAGCAGAGCATTGGTCTCGGGACTTGGGGACATGGAGGTGGAAGTGGGACAAGGGGGTGAAAGAGGAGGCAGGTTGTCAGAAGAGAAGGGCCCAAGGGTACTGGGACTTCCCACCTCTAGAGGAACAGTAAGGACACCAAGATCAGAACAGGTCTCAGGAGAGTGTCCTCTAAGGGAGGTGTGGTCCATGAGCAGATACATGGATCAGAGTCCGCTGCTAGGGACAGGTGACAGGGACGTTGACTGCCAGCCTTCCAGAAATGGTAAACAGACAGACACCCAAATAAACTTCACAGAACAGGGAGACCCTTCAGAACAGACATGGCCTAACCTCAAAACTGAAAATTCACCTCACCTGAAAACTCTCCATCTTACAAGACTCCCTGTAATCCAGCTCCAGGAACTCCCACTTCTTACCCACTCAGCATCCCCGGGGTCGGGGGTGGGGGTCCTGTTGGGAGGTGGGCAAGGCTGCAATGATGGTGTGAGGGGCTCTGGGGGCAGGAAACCTACTTTTCAAATGGGAACACAGCCCTGCAACAAGGACAGACCAGCTATACAGAAACTGGGTAAGTGACTTGGCATTATGGCAGTGATACCAACATCCAAGGGCAGACAGATTCACAAGGGAAAGCAGGTCTCAGAGCCAGTGCCACCAAGTCCCAGGGGGAGGACTGTGTGGATTAGGAGGACATGTGACCGGGAGAGAGTCTGAGGCCATGGAGGGACCCACACACTACTGAATGTGGCAGTCAGATTCATTCCAACAGAAGGTGAGTGACCCTACCCATGGCTGACCTGAACTCAGCCAGCTGGAGCCCTTGAGACCCAAGCCATGGACATGACAGAGCTGTTCCCCACATCAGGACTGAGGTAGGAGCTTCAGCCATGGACACCTCATCTGTGACTCATGCCCCTCCCCACCCCACAGGTCAGCCCAAGTCGGCCCCCTCGGTCACACTCTTCCCACCCTCCAGTGAGGAGCTCAGCGCCAACAAGGCCACCCTGGTGTGCCTCATCAGTGACTTCTACCCCAGTGGCTTGACGGTGGCCTGGAAGGAAGACGGCAACCCTGTCACCCAGGGTGTGGAGACCACCAAGCCCTCCAAACAGAGCAACAATAAGTACGCGGCCAGCAGCTACCTGAGCCTGTCACCGAACCGGTGGAAATCTCACGGCAGATTCACCTGCCAGGTCACGCACGAGGGGAGCACCGTGGAGAAGACAGTGGTCCCTGCAGAGTGCTCTTAGGTGCCTGAGACCCACACCCACCCAAGGGGATATGCAGCCATTGAACCTCCAGGAAGGATTCCCCTTGTACCAAGACCATCCCAGCCCTTCTCCCAGCACCCAATAATTGCTCAATAAAATGTCTCTTACTCAATCAGAAATCATGCTTTCTGGTCTTTTAGAGTTAACTTTTTGTGTTCTGAGCTCAACCATCTTTAGGGGGGGAAATCACTCTTTTGGCCTCTTGGGAAAGGAGTCCACAGAAAGATTGGCTTCCTCATGTTTTTTTAAGGGGTAGTTTAACTCTCAGCCAAAATTGTCTGAGAATATTCCTCAGCAGGAGATACAATCAGCGGAAACAGGAGAAACTATCCACCACAATGTCTGCATACTTTGCTTCTTGTGTGAACCATGTCCACTGCCAGTCATGGCTGCCCTCACTGATCTTGGGTCCCCATGATTTCTAGGATAATCCTGAGCTTCTCCCTGTACCTGGCGCCACACTGTCTACAACCTGCCCCCTCTTATGTGTCCATTCTTCTCTTTTTCTGGACCCCGACTCAATGCCATGTTTTCCCTGGTTTCCTACCCCATGTGAACATTCCCCATCATACCAGCCTAGAGCTTCCTCCCTTCCTTATGAGAACCTCTGTTCCTACCCCAGGAACAATCACATGTCTCCCACCACCACCACCAACTCCCTGCAACACTTACTACAGGACCTTCTGTCTGGACGCTGGTCACTCACACCCACACTCCCATTGCTGGCACCTCCACACAACAGTGTCTCTTGGTTCCCACTTGCATCTAAGTTCTCTGGGAGACAGACACCAGCTATGCTCTCTAGGACCTGTTGAGGCCAGGCCAACCCATAAACCCACTTGTGCTTATGTAACCTGCCTGGGGCCTCTATGTTATAAATCAAGTCTCCCATTTTGGGAATGGGCTGCTGACAGGTTTCTCAACTGACTCATCTTCTTAGGATCTCAGTGTGGGATCTGATCATAACATACACAAGCACACACACAGGTACCAATAAACAGAAATATACATGCACACACATGATGATCACAGAACCATTGGTTCATTTATAACACTGCCATGGTGAACATCTCCATGGAAGCATCAAGACAACCTGGGGTAGAAGATGTTGCACTACGTCCCAGGATGGGACATGAATAAAGAAAACTTAGTCCCTATAGAAGCTTCAACACCAACCAGTGACAATAGAAGGCCCTGCAGATTGGGGTCTAGGTGGAGTGAGACAAGCAACCTCGTGAGCTGGTGAGAGGGAGTTGAGAGATGAAGTGAGAGCAAATCAGGAAAGACAGCAGGAGTGCTGGCTTAGTGTGCAACTGTGTCACAGAAAGAATGCCAGACCTGTGTGTCTCCTGTGTGAGCTCTGCAGGTAACATCCCTGGGCCTGGATGCAGGCCAGAGCCCTGGGTAAAAGAGACCCTCACAAAGTCATGGTCCAGTGTAGGGAAACAGTATGTGTCCTGTGTGGTGGGGCCACCCTGTGCTAGTGATGCTCCTGTACGTGGGGGCATGTGTGATTCTCAGTCAGTTCAAGGGACCAGCACAGACTCCCACACATCAGCTCAGGGCGAAATTGTTGGACCCAGTGCGTGCCTCCCCAAGCACGATGGACCCATCAGGTCTATCTAGCTTACATTCAGCCCACATACCCCTATGGCATGACAACTCTCCTCATGGGGCTAAGGACAGAGACTAGACAGTGATCATGCCACCTTCTAGAAGAACCAGCCAAAGGCAGGGATTCAGGAGCTCAGGACCCTATAGAAGGATCTAAGTGTTGGGGGGAAACATGAGTCTCCTCTCAACACTTTCCATTCCTGACCCCAAACCTCCACTGTTTCCTGTGTGGACGATGTAGTGATACATCCAGGACCTTCCCCATGAGTCCCAACTCTGCAAAGGGCTCCCAGCTCCATCACCTCTGTGCTGAAACACCCCTGCTCACCCCTTCTACAATGACATCCTGACACAGACTGAGGAAAGCACACAGCACCTTCCTAAGCATGGTGTTAGCTGAATTCTGATGCCATACCTAAAGAGGGTCTCTCCACCCCTCCCCATGACTGAGGATGGATGGAATCTGAACCCTCCATGGAACTGAAATTCCAGGTCATCAGCGATTATCCCCATCACCCACCCATCTGCCCAGCCAGCACCCGCAACAAGGAGGCTGGGCTTTGGGTCTCCTGGGCAGCTACAGGTTGGCCTGGGTCAGGGGTGGAGGGACTGACAGAGGGTTTGTGTTCCAGGCTGTGTCACGGTGTCCTATTTTCGGTAGAGGGACCCGTCTGACTGTCCTTGGTGAGTTTTCCCCCTTTTCCTCCTCTTTCAGATCCAGTGTACAATTTCAGGCTATTGTGCTTTCTACTGTGAGCTGGGCTTAGGCTGAAGGTCTGGGGGGTCTGTAAGTTTTGCCTCTTTTATCTGCCCCTCATAGCCTCCACCAGTCCTGACTTGTCAGTTGTCTGGTCAGGGCTACAGGGGACCATCCCTGTAAACTGTTCCTGATCTAGACCTGAATTCAGACCTCACTGTGGCTCCAGCTCTCTCTTCATGGGAACCTTGTCCTCTAGACTCGGGGATGGTCGTCTCCCCATTCAGGGTATCTGGGCTCAAAGAGTCCGAGAATTGAGGGATGAAGTGCATGTGACTGGGGTTTGGGCTGCCAGAGGGGCCATGGGATGTGGATTTTGGGGATGGCTCAGGCACTGGGTTCCATCCTTAGGGTGTCCCAGGCAGAGGACTTCCTGAATCACAGTGAGGAGAGCCTTGGTCTGGGTACTGGGAGACACGGAGGAGGAAGTGGGACAAGGGGGTCAAGGATTAAGGGAGAACGGCAGGGGAAAAGGGGTCCTGGTGCTGGGGCCTTCCACCTCCATAGGCACAGACAGGACACCAGAAACAGGACAGGCCTCAGGACCGTATCCTTCAGTCAAGACACTCAGGCAGCACAGGTACATCCCTTCATGGCCCACCACAGCAGGAAAGAGCCATGAGCAGATATATGGGGCCAGAGTCCCCTGATACGGACAGGTGATAGGGACACTGACTGCCAGGCTTCCAGACATGGCAGTCAGAGTCCCCAGCATCAATTCACAGAACAGGGAGATCCCTCAGAACTGAAAATTCACCGTACCTACAAACCCTCCATCTACAGGACTCCCCGGAATCCAACTCCAGGGACTCCCACTTCTTACCCACTCAGCATCCCCAGGGAGGGTCCCTGTTGGGAGGATGCAGTGATGGTGTGAGGGGCTCTGGGGGCAGGAAACCTACTTTTCAAATGGGAACACAGCCCTGCAACCAGGAAGACTGGCTATACAGTAACCGGGTAAGTGACTTGGCATTATGGCAGTGATACCAACATCCAAGTGTAGACAGATTCACAAGGGAAAGCAGGTCTCAGTGCCAGTGCCACCAAGTCCCAGGGGAGGACTGTGTGGATTAGGAGGACATGTGACCTGGAGAGAGTCTGAGGCCATGGAGGGACCCAGACACTACTGAATGTGGCAGTCAGATTCATTCCAACAGAAGGTGA